ACCACTGACATCAAAGCTACAGAGCCCTTCAGGACTCTCACTTTCTACAGCACCAATAAGAGAAGTGAAATTGAGGGAAAGCTTGGAACAGCCCCTTAGATTCCAGGGAGGATAGTAGCATCAGCAGCCCCTGAAAGACTGGGCAACATGAAACGCATCAATAAAGCACTGAGCCATGGACATCCTGGCCCTAACCTTCCTAAACTCCAGAACATAGAAGTGGAGAGTAGAAGTGACTGGTTCAAAAATGGGGAAAGGAAAAATAGAGTAAGACACGCTGTTTGGGCCATCAGGAGCAGCCGGGAGAAAACCCTGCTGCCTTCATGACAGAAGAGGATCAGGACTTTAAAAATACTGGCCACGCTTCTCAACACATTTGCAAAACATGACAGGAGACTAAATCTGTATAATAAGAAGAATGGGATATAAATATAAAGCACCTACAAGAACAGCAGCAAAAGCCTCAACAAAATGTACTGTGGGCTGACTAAGGGATCAGGCATTACTTCTCGGACAGGATGAATACTTGTGTTAAAAAAATATTCACACCTTGAATTCTTGTGTCAAGTAGTACATGGGAAATAATACTGAGAACAGTTTAAGACTTAGAACCCATTTTATATTTTCAGTTTTTAAAAAATCAACTGTACATTCCCACTGCACTGACGTGGTCCAAGCCAGGTGAGATAGTGGCAAACCAGATGCAAATGTTGGATGTGACGGGAACCTCTCTGCTTCCTTCTTAATTTAACCTCTCTTGCTGGTGGAAAGACAGAATGAGGTGATCCAGCATCACCAAGTGCATTGTTCCCGAACAACGTGCAAGCTTCTCAGCAATCTTGACTTGATTAACTTTAGCACTGTTCTGTCTAAATACAGCCGGTGAATAAGTTATCAACGTTACTTTAAAAAAAAAAACATGCACCATCAGTTTGAACAGTCCTGGCAACACAGAGTAACAATTCTATTGGGACATTACAGAAAAGGAACACCTCCTGGTAGCCCAACGTAGGCATTGTTTTTCAATGAAAACGTTTGTCCCACAAAATTTCATGGGAGCCATTAACTTGGTGACAGAAGAAATATACACAACAAGAAGTGGAAAGGAAATGGCCAGCCCATTCTCAAACTGCCTCGCTGGGAAGAAGTCACTTATAGGAAGTTCCTCCAATTTCATCCGAGGTGGCTGTTGCTAATAACCGCCTCTTTCTGCAGGGCGACACAAAGCAGAAGAACCGAGCAAGTCTAAGTTCTGTCAAGCCGTGTTTGGATTCCTGCTTTGTCAATACGAAAATAATTTAAGCCTTATTAATATTTTAAAGTAATATGAATTCCAGCTAACATTTAACTTCAACTCCTTCAGTATGCATACACCCCTGAAAAAAAAAAATCCAGACTAGCTTTTACAGCATTACATCAAACACAGACCCTGAAGCACTCGCATAGCTTAAAAAAAATAAGAAGAAAATGTTTAAGGCATCCAATGAAGAAAATAAATAGTGTCTAATCCTATGAAGAACAAGTTCAATGAAATTAACCTCAACAGTTGTAGTCAAAAGGACTGGCTAATTATCTATATAATGATCGACTGTGGTAAGGAAAATTTCCAAGTAGGAACCATGGTCTACTCAGCCCACACTGGGGGACCCTGAAATAAGAAACATTTGTTCTCTTCTTGTCCTAACCATCCTGCAACATTTTTTATTTTCTTTACATGAAAAAAGATCTGAGGACAAAGTTCTGGCATACCAAACCCTGTGTCACTTCGTTGTTGTTGTTTAGTCGTTAAGTTGTGTCCGACTCTTCATGACCCAAAGATATATACTGCTTTGCGTATGAGGAAGTGAAGCATAATCCATGAAAGTTCAATGTAAAATAAATCTTTTGGCCAGTCTTAATGGAACCACAAGCCCTCTGTACTATTTTGCTGGAATACAGTGATGTGTTTCACACACGCACACATGGAAAACTCTGTGAGGTATATACTGTATTCCAATGGGACCACACCTCACATCCACTTTCTTATCCCTCACCCATAACCTCAGGTAGCCACTTGATTAAAGAGATGCCAGTCCATAAATTCCTATGCCACAAAATACAAGTTCATCTTAAAGGTAAAAAATTCTTTGTAATTTTCCCCATCCATTCTAAACACAAGCCGCTGTAACATCCCAACAGGAGAAACGCGGGCTCCCACAAAGCCGTACCTTCTGCGACAAAAGGTGGATCCTAAGAATCTATCTGGGGAAGACGAGCCCAGTTCTGGCAACAGGTCCCGCACTCTGTGCGCACTGATGTTCTGGAGAGACTTTACACACACAGAAGCACCGAGGGAGCGATCGGGGGAGAGATATAAATTGCTTCCCGGGGAGAGGCTGCTATTATGCTTCCCCACTGTTTTCTCATTTTTAAAAAATCCATTGTTTCACAAAACACATTAATATAATGAAGCTTTTAAAAAAATACAAATTGGATAAATGAAATTCATACAATATGACTAAATCAATACAGCTGTAATTTCAAGTGTTTCCATCAATATTTTGCAGGTGACGCTCTAAGAAGTGTACAATTATACTGACTGCCGTTACAACACATAGGTGTATTAAAAGATTTGACTATCTTCATTTTTCCACTTTTAACATTTAAGTAACATTAGAGAATAATATGCTATTCAGTTATTATGTTATTTTACAAAAAAAATAATTCCTGAGTAAAGCTGTTAGTATGATATTTCAGCTAACCAAACAATATACTGTACTCCTATTTACTCAGGAATAATAAAGTTCAGTAAAATTGTACAGGTAAGCTTCCAGGGAACTGCAGTTTGAGTGGAAAACCCTATACTGTATCACTTATGTCAGTTCATCTAAGCCTGGTACCAAAAAGTATTTCACATACAGTATTAATGCAGGATTTACAATAATTCACACTTTACTTTTTAGTTTTATGTACTATTAAGTATGCTAAATTGGGTTCCATCAATTTAGGGCAGCAAAAAATATTTCTGGAAAATGTTTCAGAAAATTCTACAATTTGAAATTTTTCACAACACGCACATCACTGGTAACAGCCATTTCCAAACCCGCAGGAAGTCTGGTTTCCCACGTTTCAGTCAGAAAGAGAGACAGTTGCATACATCCTATTGCACATGATGTGTGGTGCAAGAGTGCACATAAGATCTATCCAGACACTGGACGGAACTTCCCGAGTCCTATTAATTATTCTCACTTGGTTGCCCTTGAAACCAGAAATTAAAACATGAATTGACAGGAGTTTTCCGGTCTGATCACAAAATAATAAACATTGGCTTGGAGCGACCTTATAGTTTGTCCAACTGAGACATCACAGTTATAGGGGAGCACAAAGGCAGGAAGGGCAAAAAAAGGATTTGCATCCCCACAGGGCCCAAAGGCACAACTCTAAAGACCAATGGGTGGTGGGTGGCAATGTGGCCCGAAGCCACCAAATACAAGTGAACACATTATGTCCACCAACCTATTCCACATCCAAGCCATCACACTAATTTTTTATTGTTGTTTTTAAATAGCTTAGCATTTCCCCCCATCTTTCGGATCAGAACAAGAAGAAAATTCTATACATCCTGACCCAGGAAATTAACTCCCAGTCAGGATATAGAGAGTTTTTGTGAGTAAATATGTCGTAAAATGTTGTTATATGACATCATAATATAACAGAAATCCAACCTGGAGTGAATTGAACATAAAACTTCATTACAATGCAGTTTTTCTTTTGAATTTTTTTTAAACTCTGGACACTTACAAACTTGAATAGGATTGATAAAAGGAGTCCATGCCACATTCTGACCACAGTGTTATTCTAAACTAGCAAATTCAAAAACAAGATGTCCTTGTAGGTACCAAATGCTAGGAGAAGGTTTAACACAGGCTTCAAACACAAAACAGGAGCTGTCCTGGCTTTTGAAGTTTGAGAAATGAACTTTTCATTCCCAAAACACCAATTTTTATTTACAATGCCCAATCAAACGCCTTTAAGAATGCTGTTAACTATATATAAACAACAAGACAATTGACAGAGCAGTTCTTATCCTCCACTGGCAGTATAAACACTAAATCAAAGGACAGTCCCCATTTCCAAACTGCAAGGGGGGGGGAGTGAATGACAGCACCACCCTGCAAAACGAGTTCAAATCTTGCCTCGGCTGTAACTTGCTCCATACGCCTTACTCAACATATGGCACTCACTTGCAACACTTTGATAATAATGGGGATGGCTCAAAAAAATCCCTCCGCTTAATACCACACCTGGAAGTCTATTGCCTTTGAGCCACCTCTCACGGGATCAGCCTTAACTCAGAGGGTTGTTGTCAGAATTAACCAAAATGAATTCACAGAAGAGCAAAATGCTAATTCATTCTTCCAGTGAATGTCATCTTTATGCTATCTCATCTTTAATCATCTTCTGTGATCCTAACCAGAGTTACATAAATACATTTTAAAACTGCACTGAAACCAATGGGGTTTCTTCTTATATATAAACACACTTAGAAACAGGGCTTCCACCCTATGCGGAAGAGGCTCAGAAGTCCTACTGCACTTCCAGTGGGGCTTTTTCCTGAACCAATTTGAAAAGGATGGGGCTGCATCCTCCCCCACCCTTAAAAAAAAAAAGGCAGCCGCTCTTTCTGCTCAAAATTTCTGCACCATGCATCAGAATAGCAAAGTGATTCGTGGAACTGAGATTGCCCCATACAGAGACGTGCTTTGTCCCCCTGCTTCAGCCTATCAAAGGGTGAAACACAGTTTTGTCCATCTGAGATGTGGCAGTGCCCTTCATCTGAAATAGTTCCTCACGGGGACAGGATCCGTAGCAAACCTCCCACCTGGTTAGATGCAGGAACAGGAGAAAGGCTGCACCGAAACACTTGCAAATCCTGTCCTGATAACGCTGTTTTGCAAGGTGAGAAAAAAGTGTGACTATACATAAAAGGCACACACCTTCGTTACTCAACCTAATCTCACCTTTTGCCTAAACAAATCATACCACGGGGGCACACACACAATCCTCCTCCTAACACGCTTTCTGTTTGCTCTGGAACAAAACAAAAGAAAAAACCCTGCCCAAATGCAACCAGGTTGCAAGAGTTAGGGAGGACGGGAGGGACGCAGCCAAAGGCGCAGCTTTCCATCCCATAGCATGGCTCGGAGAAAAACTTTCCAGGGGGGGGGGAGGCTGCTGCCCTGCTTGCCAAGGCAGCCTCCTCTGGGCCGCCCCTCGGGTTCAGAAGGCCCTCCAACTCCCACCTCCCCACACCTGCCCGGCGGGTCCCCCCCAGGAAAGCTGTCAAGGAGGGCCCGGTGGAGAACTTAGGACCACCTTCTCCATCCGGCCTCCCCTCTCGCCCCAGAGATGGTCCTCCAGAGCTTGGGGGCGTCTCTCTCTCTCTCTCTCCCTCCCCACATCATATACTTTTTCGGGGAACGGTGCAGTTGAACTGCTGCACCATGAGGCCTCCAGTATAAGATAGTCATATCTTCTTTTTCTTGTTATAGATATATTTTTGAAGAATTATTGACAAATCCTTGCAACTTGTAGCAAGTGCCTACTAACTAGTGTTTCATACCTTGTTCCTTCAGTGCTGTGGGTGGGACGGAGGCTGATCCACTCCCAGGCCCTCGGCTTGGTCCCAGGCTCCCCTTGCCATATCCTAGCCCTGCCACTAAAACTCTTCTGCTTGTTTGCTTGCCCCCCCCCCCACGC